AATGTATTGTCTATGGGAAATCTTAGACTTGAGGAAAACTCAAGAGTTGAGATGTTTTATACAAGTGGGCCCAGTAACCTATAATTGTCTTTGTATGAATATATGGAAAAAGATATAGAAAAAAGTGGTGAAACCCTCCAACTAAATTAGAATCCGTACTAACCTTGATAAACTAGTTCACGCGGTTGATGCTTTTAATAGCATCGTGTTCATGATGATCATAGATCTTATGACACAAGAGTAGCATTTAGATTTTGAATCAGTTCCAGATGTTGTTCAATAAGAAATCTGTGTCGTTTAGTGTTGTCACCTGTCTAACGTTTGATGAATTTTACATGAGATGGAAATGTATTTGGCTTGGACATCCAACATCAATGTCTCTCCGATGACATCATGACCTCTATCAAAGACGTATTAATGTAAACGACAACACACTATCTCACAGGTCACCAGTTCTGGATCTTGTCAGATACATGAATGGTGTGTGACACTTGTGTACATTTAATTACGTTTACTTTGTCTTATGAAACGTATAGTAAAGCAAATCAAAGTTCAGGAACATTCAATCACTCAATTTTTTCCCTTAAATCCAATTATGGTTTCCATTGGTTTACAGGAATATCCTTAACTCCAATAATGCTTCCCTTGGCCACCTGCTGTATGAACCTAGAGCTATATTTTCAATCATTTTACCGATTATGCGATAGCAATATATATTTAATAATAACAAGCTATTGCGAAAACCTGTAAATCTCTAATTATCTCCAATGTTAACACATATGGTCAATAAATTGTCGAATAGATCGTATGTTAGAATTTTATAATCTTGAGTTATTACAAAATACTTTTATCTTTCTGTATTCAATAGCGTCTTGATTTCCAGTGATTTAACAACAAACCAAATAACGTACAAAAGTAAGACACTAATACCAGGTGTTTTTGTAGGTAGGTGTAAGCATGTTTATAAGTATTCTATCCGATGTTAGTTTATAGAATAAAATTAAGCAAACGTGGCCTAGATAATCTTAAATGTGACGTTTAACCTATGATATCGTAAAGTGAAGACACTTGAATGGAGACAACGCTCATTTGTCTACTATATAAACAATACCTTTATTTATATGTTGATATCTTTAAAGACACTAACTTACAAGTGTCATCGATTGTACCTTAATAACAACCAGAGATATTAAATGTTCATTATATGTAGCGATTTATCATAATCAAGTTGTACACTTTTTGTTTTGTTTTAGTAATTGTAACTGATTATAGTGATATGTTAATAAACATGTCATAATTACTAATTAATAAACACAGGCATATAAATTTAATACATTATGACACCTCTCACAATGTATTATTTGTTTTAGATAAGGCGATTGACCTGGGGAAAACACAATGTATCATCTGTGTAGCAAATGTACACATAGGATTGAAAATCACTTATATATCTGTAAATATTAATGTTAAATTAAATGTTGTTGATGCAGTGATTTATTTGTTTAGGTAAACGATTGCATTGCATCTTTCGCTAAACGAAGTCGTCACGAGGACGATAGTTGTGTGGATGTTGAAGTCAGGGCATTAACCCTTTCAGTACTTTAAAAGCAGATCGGGATATTCATCGTTTTAAAGACAACTGGTCTACCTAGCCAAACAAAAAATCCGATTAAGATAAAATAGTTATCACGACATAGGGGAAAAAAAATCTATCCAAATAGTAAATACATTTTTTTCATAGATACTTCTTTAAAAATAAGGAGTTTTTATCAAAAGTCCAGCAAGTGACAACTCATTGCAAAAACTTAATTTTCCAATTGTGAGAATGAGAATGTTCAGTTTTTCAAAATGAATTTAGGGCACAAGGTTTGTGATGGGGTAAAACACCGTATTGTATAATATAAAATTTACTTTAGGGCGATCAACACTATATCTTACGATATATGGTTCAGTGTTGGTGTAATAGCCACAATAAGTGATTTGCTGAAAGAAATTAGCACTATTAGGATTTCTACTTTCCAAGAATTTACCTAAAGATGATACACACGTCCTTCAATATAACGGTGCTATATCGATCATGTTTTGCTGGGGTTTATTAGAAAACAAAATTGATTATTATATTCCCCATCATGATCAGGATCGGAACAATTTTCATAAAAAAGTAAAGCAGACAAAATGTTTATAACATTATGGTAACAAAATCCATATATTTTACATGTAGGAAAAGGGAGAGAAATTTAAGAATTTAATTATTTGAATTCTGTACCATTATAAAGCCCCTATTTGATTATCAAAAATATAATACTTTAATTATTTCAATTTAAGAAATCGATGTTTAAAGATTGGTTATTGATAAGTAAACACAAACAACGGTTCAAATTATGATATTACGTGAGAATTGGGGAAGTACAGATTTTTTCTTCTTTCCTTTTTGGTACACAATAAAAAATCAAACATACAACAGAACTTATCATATGTCAATCAGAATTAAGCACTAAATATAGAAGAAAAGATATTTTGAAAAATTATACCTGCATACGTTTGTATTTTGTGTGTCTGAGAGTAAACATGGATAGGTAGGTTTTCGTCTGTGAGGATGAATAATCATGTCATATTTATGTGTTGTACAAAATACCCTTTGAAAGCTAAACAACTATAAAATAATAATGACGTGGTAACAGTATGCAAATTCAGTAGATTACATATTCGATTGCACTAATTATCCCGTGCGCATATATCTATATTTAGTTACACTTGTCAGTCCTGTTCCATATTTGTTTTAGAAAATACATTTTTGCCGGAGGTAGTATATTACACAATGATCATTAACTTTTCCATGGTATAATATATATAACATTATTTTCACGAATTCCTTGAGGATACATATACCGATAAATTAGTCTGTGAACATGGGTCGTTATGTAGACAAGGTTGTCAGTATGCAGCTGTCGGCCATTAAGCAGTCTGGTAGTAAGGTAAATATCTACATCCCTTATATTTCTGTACTGAAAAAAATACCTACCTAAATGGTGTTTACATGTACAAAGGGCAATCATATGGACTCGTAATTACTATAACATGGCGGGAATGACCATAAAAATAGTAATGTTTAGGATTGGTCAGGATTCGTGACGTCACATAAACGGTAGTTTATCCACGTGACTGATTTGACTGAGACAAACGTTTTCTCATAATGTTCAATTATATATCGTATATATATCATAACCTTATTTGATATATGTTCATATAAACATTAAATCATAAAGGACGTTCTCATCAAGAAATATTTTCACACAATTAGTCTAATAATGTCAAAGGGTAATTTTTATATTAACATTTCGTAGTTAAATGTATGATTTAATGCGATGCAACAATTTTGCAGCTTTTTTTCTGTATCATATAAGATATGGTTTTCATTATATTAAAATAACTTGTTTTCATTAATATTTACATTCATGTTTAAAAAGATTATACACAATAATAACTTGATGAAGATTATGACTAACAAAACAATGTGATACATGTCGATTATAATAACAAGTTTATATACAATTTAGTCGTTATGTTATTTGAAATGAATCAGTGCCTCTCTAAATGTTTTAAGTCATATAATTAAGGGATTTCCTGTAACTGCACTTCCGTTTCAACAGTTTAGACCAACTTGGATTTAGAACGTTTAGGTCCCTATCATCACCGATGTGTTCTAAAATGACGAAACAGCTGTATGATGGAGTGTAATTCATTTTTGGAACTGTATTTCCAATGGTTTAATGGTTCAATCACCTACGTGTGTTCCGGTCATCTTATACAGTCAATAATAGTAAAGTTTACGATGTGTTTAATGTCTAAACGTTATTTCGTCACGAAATGGCCAAAGAGAAAAATGTAATAAAAGAAGATGAAGTTGAATTTCCGAGAAATCAGAATCCTCTACTTGTAATAGTGTGAATTTTTGTGAACATTCAACTGTTGCAGATTAATGGTTGGAGGCGGGGATTTATCGCTCACTCATTACTGACTGTAGCCGTGCCATCATTCTATTTAATGTATGTAGATTGTTTTGATACATCTTTATCTGGTGTGATTCAGAAACTATGTGTCAATGTTCAGGTATTTTTCTGATGGATATTAACAAATTTGACCGATGTTTCACACTTTTTGGTATGTGCAATAAACGAGTTTATAATTATTTTGACCCACCCAATATTTTCATGACATATCTTAATATCGAAAGGTAAAACACGTACGGCACAACAAAATTCACCAACACGAAACCTGCTTATTGGAAGAAAATATGACGGATAACAGTAAGGAAATGTTTCCGTATTTTAAAATTAGGAGGGGGGGAAATGAAGCATAACACAATTCACATATATAAAACCTTATTATTCGCAGATATCGGTGGATGTTGCAAATAAAAAGCAAATATTTGAGGAGAAGAAAATATCATTGATAATAGTAGGGAAATATTTCCGTATTTTAACATTGGGATAGGGAAAATGTAGCATAAAACAATTCACCTACACGAAACCTGCTTATTGACAGATATCGGTGGATGTTGTAAAATCAAAGGAAAAATTTGAGGAAACGAAAACATTACGGATTACAGCAGGAAAATGTTGCCAAAATTAATTCGTTCTTATTCCAATAAATATTAGCTTTATATCACTAAAAATATTTTTTCCAGAAAGACAGTGGTTCGGGCTTGCATATTTTCGCGCTGACTTTGGAAAGGAAAAACAAATATTCCAGATCGCAAATTTTAGAAATAGTGATAATAAGTATATTATGATTCAGAACACGACGATGTCGAATGGCACGTGAAGTTGTATATATATATAAATTATTTATATATGTATATATGTATCTAAAGGTTGATTAAGATATAAATATATTCGATATAATATTGCCTGAATTGAATGGAAAGTAACTCTTACAAAAGTTATGTAATATGTAAAACAACCCGCTTCCCTCGTTATGTGTTTTCGTAATGTACTTACCAAACAAGAGAAACAGTTGTAATGTGTTTTTCACATAGTGTATGAATCTATGCATTATCCTCCAAATAAGTGTTTCGTCATGACCTGAAAAAATAAATTTAATATAATAAAAGAAATATCATTATTACAGTTTATATCACACTCTCGATTAACATGCTAATCATTATACAAAACACATAATGCATACAAAATTTAGATGCACACTTGATCAGATATTAAAAAAAAATAAAGCTTTTTCACATAATTGTCTTGGTAGTTGCACACAGACTTGTACGTGTAATCCTATTTCGGAACGTTGAGATAATACTTTTAAATATTCATTTTTGGAACAATTAGAACTATTAATATTCATTTTCGGAAAAAATGTTAATATATTTTAATAATTATTACACACGTGTTATAGTTTACATATTGGTAGACAGATGATGCAAATGAGAGAGAATTCTTATATAAACGAGAGAACAGAGCGTTTTTGAAGAAACTATTGAGCTGCTCATTAAACGGACTGCATTTATTATGATATGGCAAAAAACGTTTCTGTATTTCATAAGCATATCATTAGGAAACAGTTGGTCCCTGTAACGGAAATAACAATGGTTTAAAATGTAAATTATGAAGTTGTTGTGTCACACTTAATCGTATAAGTAATATTATGGCATATCTTTTCGTGTATATACATTAGATACACGACGAAGCTCAATAATATCAACGATGTAATTGTTTTTGTAATGAAAAACAGGAGAAGTTATGACCAGATTGCACAACACCAACGAAACGTTGTTCGCCTACTCCCATTTGTGTGTTATTAGAAGACGCTAATGTTTTTCAATATCTTACGTGACCGATAAAGGTTAATGAATTGTAAAACACTTATGCATTACGATTTCTTACGTGATTGATATAAACCCTTAAACACAATGAAGTAAAACAACAATCATAACTGCTAAATAGCATATACCATAAATACCTAGACTGACATCGGTTTGTAAATTTCTAGACACTTATATATTTAGAGTTATCACGATTATTGATAAAGGTTAGTAAATTGACAGACACTTATGTTTTTAGGTTTCTCCCATTATCAATAAAGGTTTGTGAATTGATAGACACTTATATACTTTGAGTTCTCTTATGACTGATATAAGTTTATAAGACACTTCAAGTTCGTCGCGTTTCGTTGTTTAACGCTGTGAAATATGTCATGCGTGTAGAATTTTGGACCTGGTGGGGACTACCGTTAAATTTGAATGATATTAGCAAAAACCAACAATTACATGATTGAATGCTGTATAGTATAGCTGAGAATGGACTCATTCAAAAAGACATGAATAAAATCGAATGATCACAAATAAGATACGCTTAATGTTTTAGCTGAAAATTAAAAACTTTTAACTTTTGTTCATTTAAATATGTTTTTATTTACTTCAGAAATTCGTTTGATTACAGGAAAATGACAGGACTTCCTGAAAAGTTTACCAAGTTCGTAATATATGTGTTGTGAATTGTTAGGTTTTTTTATTCGAAATGACATAGTGAATGTGTGAATTTGAAATGTGTACTGTGTTTATGACAGAATATAAACGATATTGGTCAGATGATGTGTCTAAGGAATATATAATAAAGTAACTGCGGTGGAGATTGTTACAGCAATGTATGTAAATTGACAGAATTTGTGGGCGAACTTAACACTGCAGAATTTAGCTGACAGGTCATTGTTAAGTGTGACGGGCAACTAATGAATAATACATATATCAAGGTGCATATATAAACAATGCAAATATTGTTCGGTGGAACCACCGGTGAAATCATTATAATAGGTATTGAATTCAAGAAGAAAACAAAAGTGTATTGTATTCAATTTCACGTTACGGAAAACCGTGACAAAATTGTTAAAAAAACACATTTTTATGATATTTGTTTATAATTTCACATAGACTGGTTGATGTAAACGTTTTATAACGTTTAAGCAATTGTAAAATGTTATCAACAAATATGACTGTCATTGTTTTCGTGATTTAGTGTAGCAGAATTGCGAGTAACGATAACTCGACATTTTGGCTATTCTTTAATTTATGCGTGATACAAACGATATTGTTAAATAAATTCAAACCAAGTGACACGTGTTTGAATATTGAAATGAAATCATACCAAGGGGAAAAATCTTATCCAGGAAATGGCACAAGACTTCAGTTAAGTAGGTTTATTGTTCTTCAAACAACATAATGGTTGCATGTGTAATGGGTGACAATCAGCTGAGACCACAAACTGATGACGTTTATAGGGAACTAATGTATTAATACCACATACATATAGTGCCGTAGATGTGAATGTGAAATGTACAATTAGACCTAATTTTGTTATACCAGGAACAGAAAAAGAAAAAAAAAACTAAGAAAATTAATTTCAGTGTATCTGTGTGAATAGCATACATCAATGAGAAGAAACACATTTACATACATTTTAGTGTGTCGCATATGCAAACGTAAACCCGTGTAAGTAAAAGACTTAAACGTGGTTGACATGATTCATTTGTGAAGATTTTTATCTGAAACGGCAGCATTTTTGCATATGTCACTAGAAATAAGTCAGCTAACAACTAGTGGTAGGATTGGAGAACACAATAACACATCGTGCCATGGTTTTAGTATGCATACAATATATATATATCGCATGCAATACAGCTATACATGGCTGAAGGCAGAGAGTGACGGAACGTCACCCTCGGAACACCTCATCCATCAAACGGGTATTTAGTATTCCGGTCCACTGTCAGACGGGAAGTTAGACACTGGCAGCCTGACCTGATATGGTAGTCGGCGGACGTGAGCTGTTTTCTTACACTTGTTAATTAATAACAGAAACTCTATATTCAAGGACTGGATGAGATTTTTGACATTTGACCTCATATCGTCAGGCGCGTAGCTAGCCCCTTTACCAAGTGTAAGCCCCCGACATGGGGTTGCCGAAGGCAGCCCCCCCCCCTCCCCACCGAAGCGCGTACACGAGCCGGGGGAGGGTACGGGAGTGGGTCTTCCCCCTCCCGTAAGGGGGGTCTGGGGGGTCTCCCCCATGAAAATTTTGTTTTCTAGAACGTCTCAGGAGCCATTTCCCACGTCCTGATGTCTGAGATAATGATATGTTGTAAACTATAATATAGTTTTAAAAAGGGGCCGGACTGGCCCCGGTCTCTCCTACACATGATATAATACATGTGTAGGGGGGACCGTGGCAAACACGCCCCCTTTTTCTTTTTTCAGGACGTTATGGAAGGCATGTACTATACTGTTGAAATGCATATTTATATATGTCATTTAGAAAAGAAATGTATTGTCTTTCATAAACTAATAACCAAATCGTAAACAAGACCATATTTTGGAAATTATTGGACTTTTTCGGTCGAGAGAGTTGGGGGCCGGACGAGCCCCGCACTGAGGCAAATCCGGCCCCTACCAGGGCAAGTATGGCATGAAGGACAGAGAAGACAATTTACTAATAAGTGTATGGAATTTCATTCAATTCTGTTGGAAAATAAGTCCAGAACAAATCAGTGAATACAAAGAAAAAAATACTTAATTTTTGCGTCGTAAAAATAATATTTTTGTGGTCAATTGGGTGACGTCACTTGGCACAATAACAGTTGCATTCCGGGTGGCCGAATGTGCCCCGGCAAAAGGGGTCGATCGTGCCCCAAATTGATATTTTCATAAAAAAAAACATTGATTGTCTGTGTCCAATGTGTGCCATACTCGGAGCCGTTTGCCCCAGGCGTGAGTTTCTCAATTTACTCAATCGAGCAGTTTAGTTCCGCCTGGAACTGTCCATTAATGCAATGGACATTTCTAAACTTCATACATTTTTGTACTAACTATTAACAATGTATCATATCTGAGGACTTACATATGTATACTATATATTCAAAACTTAAACTCCACTTTATAGTATCAGCAAGAAAACATAACGTCTTGAAAATCTATACTTGTCAAAATCATGTGCAAGCCCGGGCTTATTGGCTTACATGGTAGCTACGCGCCTGATCGTTTGGTCGTCGATAGAATGAAAACTTTCCTACTTTTAGTGGAGACACAATTTGATGAAATATTTGATAAATTCAACATATATTTTTCATATTTCTTTCTTGTGCGATTGTATTTAAGTGGTGAAATTACTTTAAGTATAACAATAAACACCCATAACTTTTGGCCAGGGTATCGAATAATTAAAAAGGCGTTTACGGAACTCTGCGCGCGCATTCTCTATTCTATAGAATGAAACGTTAGCTAGCAATTTCAGAGGGTCAAATAACATATTCCCTGAAATTTGGAGAGTCAAAACAAATATCAAATAGACATGTCCGTTCAAACCCGAGAGTCAAAGCTAATTTTGGGGACTCAAAAACATACTCACAATGGTCAATAAAAAAACTGATACATATAAAACATCGTCAACACATAAGGATATTATAATAACTCGAAGTCGGTACGATATAATTACAGAAACCGAAGAGACACCTAAATTAAACGGAAAGAATTTCAACTCACAAAATGGCTGTAACCTGGCGGTAGTATCGTTGTGGCGGTGAATACCACACAGTCTGCCAGTAACCTACCTTTGGTTTCCTCCAGGGTAACGAAGTCTGCTAAACATTGTTTGGAGAGGATAACTACCTCATTTGTTATAACAGCAGTTTCTAGTACACACATGTGTTTTGTCTCTAGTCATACAAGAGACGTACGAACGATGTTTCTGTAACCATTTATATTACCGATACCCTGAGTCAGATCCCACTCAGGTATTATGACTGGTGCAATAGGAACAAAGGGGTTTGACAGGGTCAACACTTTCTAAATCACTGCTAATGGTCTACTGAGTATTCCATTAAACTATGACAAAATACATTATCCTCTTGTCATTATGTCAAGTTTGCATGCATCTGATTTTTAAAATCTGTTCAGTTCTACCTTTGATATTTGGTCTGATTGAATTTTTTGTATCGTTTTGTTTATGTTGATCATAAATGCCTGATCGTATATTGACGTTGTGAAATATCGTCTGTCAAATTTCATACCGGTTTCCTTGTAAGTAAT